TGTACTTTTGTATCAACTCACTGCAAGGTCATGAAAAGTTTAAATCTAACTACTTTTCAATATGCAATTTTGAAGTATACAGTTTATATTATTAGATTAGTTTTTAGTAGCATAGAAAACCTAATATTTTCTAACCAATCCATCTTTTAAATAGAATATAGATAATGTGGCTTTGTTGGCATTCACAGTAACCATGCCATAGGCTCTGAAACAGTTTGTGGGGTTGGGTGGACCTTAAGTGGTTTTGCATTACAGCAGTAGTTAAGAAACCAACTACAGAAGAGTCTCCAGTTTTAAATCTAGGTCATACTATCCTTGGTCAAAAGTAAGCATAACTAGATAATTTATACTACTTCCTAAAAAGATGGTTTACAAAAAAAGGGGGGGGGAAGCATAGACTGGTTGAAGATATTACTGTTTCCTCAAAATTTATTATGAATAGGTGTATTTTTTTTTTTTAAATAATCTATATTCCTGGGGTGCCTGGGTAGCTCAGTGGTTAAGCATCCGACTCTTGATTTTGGCTCAGATCATGACCTCAGCCTCCTGGGATCCAGCCCCGTGTAGGGCTCTGAGATGAACATAAAGCCTGTTTAAGGATTCTCTCTCTCCCTCTTCCTCTGCCCTTCCCCATCCTCCCTCCCCTATGTTCTCTCTAAAATATATAATAATAATAATGACCTATATTCCCATTAATTCATGTAAGGAATTTGTTCCTGTGGTACAGATAACCCACTAGCAAAATTAACACCAAATTATAATTAACTAGACTTATGCCAGAAAATATAAAATCTGTATAATTACTTTCAATTCAGGGTGAGGGAAGACAAGAGGGATAAAGGCAGAGATGCAGAAAAAAAGCAAAACATAATTTGAATTTTTCCAAAAATACAATATTCAAAAATACATAAAGTAAGTAAATAAATAAATAGGGGGATATACTGACTACTGTTGCAAATAAGTGGTAGTAAATGTATGGGCACTATATTTTTCTTCCTCCATTTCCAATAATACAAATTTTTTTAAAAGCACTATCTCCAGGGTATATCATAAGGTCAAGTACAGATTCAGCCCAGTCTCCTGCTTCTACACTACAATGTTAACTGATGTCCTGGAGTTATTATACTCAAGGTATTATAGTGGAGACTTGGCTCTAGAGGCAGACTGCCTGGCTTCAAATCCCAACTCTGCCAGTTACCAGCTGTGTGATCTTGAGCAAATAAAGTAAATGTATTAACTCTCAATTTCTCTGTCAGTATAATGAGGGTTATAATAGTCCTGAACCTCAAAGGAGATCCAATGAGGAATTATAGCTGAAGTGTTTAGCACAAGGCCTGGCCCATAAGTAAACTGTGGGTCATCAAATTGTTACAGTAACCAGAGGATACCTTCAGACAGAAAAAAAAGACCAAATAACATTATATAGAAGCTTACAGTTATTCAGACGGCACTGTATGAAAAATCAGTGATTCATACTATAAAATCATATAGAATCTCCAGGCACCATTACAATAACAATAATTGTAGCCCAACATTTAAGTGGTACTTTACTATGGATCAAGCACTGTGCTAATATGAGGTTTCTCACTTGGACTCATATGAAGCAAGGAATTATTATTATTCCCCTTTTACAGATGAGGGTCAATATGTATACATAATTTGCTCAAGATTACAAAGCAAGTAACTGGCAGAGTTGAAATCTGAACCTAGACAAAGCCTGCTTCGGACAGAAACTACCCACCCAAACTTGGGCAAGGAATTTCACGTACTGGGATTTCAATTTCCTCCTTTAGAAAACGAACAGAGTTGTGGAACAGGTATTCTTAAAAGTCCCTTCTAAACTCCTCTGGATAAAAATGCTATTTAAAGCCAAATTTACTACATATAGAAAACACCTCTGCTTTGGTCCTTTTACATACGTAGGTTTCTCTGTCTTATATAAATATAGAATGATGCATATTTATAATTCCCCTAGTGGAGTGTCTCACTGTTCCTGAGCCCGTTAGTGGGAGGTACATCACCAAGAGGCATCAGCCAGACAGAGAACCTCACTAGATAGTTCCATAACTAAGTCTCTTTGAATGGAGCCCAAAGAGAATCTGACTTAAAATGAATTCTACCTGACATCACTAGTGCTATAGGGAAGTTAAGTACACACATCAACAAAATTAGCCAAACCCCTAGGACTGGAACTATGTCACTCTACCTCTTAGGACCTCGGTTTCCTTGTTTACAGATATGAAGTGGTGTTTAGATACAAGTAAACCTGAAGGAAGCAGCCACCCCAACTCAGGGAAACCAATCAACTTTGTTAGAATTGAGGGAAGGGGGTAAAGAAATGTATAGTTTGAAAAAAAAAAAGAAAAAAAAAAAGAAATGTATAGTTTGGAAAACCACATTCAAATACAGTTATTGCTTTTACAATATAAACCACAGAAGTAAAGCTCCAAAAAAATCTTTTGTGTTGGGTGGCAAAAGAGAGTGAAACAACACTGAGGGGATATGGATTTTACAAATACATATTGAGATATATTAGAGTAGATCACCGTTGCAAGCCCCTTTTAGCTCAGAGTCTGTAAAACAGTCTCTAGGACTACTTATTTCCTCCCTTTCATAGAAAAATGATTTAAATAAATGCACAAACATGTAAAATTCTAAACACAAGACTCAAGGTGTTTTTTTGTTTTTTAAACATGTGATATACTTAACACAAAGTCTTATAATATTCTAACCCTAAACTAAAACACAACCAGGTTACTTCTAATCTGGTTTTAATATTGCTTCAAAACCCTGAAGCTCCATTTTAAGTAAGACAAAGATGTGAGACATAAAGTCCATGTAATCTTTCCTGAGGCCAAATATATAAAAGTCGTTTTTTAATAAAATCTCTCCTTGCACAAGTCTTTTGGCCATCTTTGCAGGGATGAAAAGACAAGAAACCAAACTCAAACCAGTCTGTCTGGCTCTCATTAGCATAGCTGGTAAATGGTTTGCTGAGAAACAACTGGCAATCCATGCACTACTTGTCAATATCAGTTTGGGGGAAATTTTATGGATTTAATCTCTCCCCAGCCCTCACTTCCAGAGACAATTAATCAAAAGCTAGTTGTATTCAGATTCAGTGCCTAGAAAAAGGTAACTGATGTCTATACCATCAGCTCTCACCTCTAAAACTCCCACTCAGATTTTAGGTTATCTTCTAAGATGGACTTGGATAGGGAGCATCAAAATGAAAAGAGGAACTGTTGGAAAAAGAAGGGCTCTCCTACCAAATGCTGCCTCCCTGTTCTACCCCCTCAGCACAAAAATAAGCACATAAGAGAAATTCCAGAAAGCAGATTCTTCCTTTTCTCTACCAAACTAATCCCATCTTGCAGTATCTCTTCATTTTATCAAGACAAACTTTAGAATGGAAAGAAATACACCTTAATATTAAAATCTTCCATTCCTAAAGGATCCCTGTGAAAATTTGTTAAGATTCTCTCTCATGAAAAACTCTCATACACACAATTTCCAAGTTTCATGGACCGCCCCCCCCCCCCCCCCCCCGCCCTGGAACTGTCAAGGTTAAAAATCCTTCCTGTAGCCTAGAGAATCATGTGCTTCTCAATAACCCTATCTCCTTCTTCATGGATGGGAGCCACCCCAAACATCACATCTGAAATGTAAAGAACAACAACATGAAGGTTCCAATTGCACCTGATGCTTTAAACTACCTCTGTCAAATTTCAGTTCTGCCATTTTTCAGCAATGCTCAAAAGATTTGTTTCATTTCCCTGACTACCCCAACTGGGTCTTATCCAAAGCCCTCCTCTCTCCTTCCTTTCTTCTCTTCTTTTTCAGCTGAGCCTAGAAGCTTATAGCCAAATCAATTTGTAAGTGAAGGAAAATGTTTGCCTGAGAACAAAAGCCCCCAGTGAACACTCACCCTCACCACCCCTTTCCAACTCAAGATGTTCAGGACACTGCCAACCGATGTGGCTGTGGGCTGGATCAGAAAACAAGAACAGAATAAGGACACTCCATTCAACCTTTTTTGTCTGGGGCACTTCCTGGGTTTTTCACTGGTATTTAACACCAAGACACAAGGCGCATTTTTCATTAAAGTTGCAAGACTTTCACTTTGCCCAGGTTCAAATGGTGTAATTGATCTGCATCGTCTTCTTAAATAACCCATCTGAAGGACACTGCAGCTTTAAATATTTCAGTGCTAGCTAGCAAATAGACTCCATTGCAATATGGCTCTGAAGGTCGCGTCCTATTGTCTCTTTGCTCTAGAAAAAAACAATGTCTAAGTCCTTCTTCTAGGTAACATAGGAAGGGTTACCCCTAGAATTTCCACTCTTCCAACTCGTTCCCTGAAGGAGTTCGGGAGTTTATTGGAATCTCACACTCATAATTTTCCCGGCAGGGGCAATATGCTGATTGCTATTAATGATGCCAGCACCTCAGCGAGACATAAACACATGTGTTCACATTAGTTTAATTGAGCATATGCAACTGTCTGAAATAGCACCACTCAAGGGCTGTTAACCTCTTTAAGAGTAGGCCCAGGGTAGTTTGGGAGTGGATGGCTTTCCGGAGGCACTCTGAACCCAGGATTGCATAACCTGAAATGTGTAGCTACTTAAAATGACAGGAATCTCAGCCTACTCATCCTGGGACCAGCCCAGCACCTTGCCATACACTTGCACCTTTGTCAAAGGTCAAAATAAGAGGCACACACACGGTGAAGGAAAAATATACCAAAAGAAAAAGGCCCTTTTCTATCTTATCAGGGTGCTTAAATATGATTCCTCAAACAGTCGCAATGTTCCCCCAACCTTGTCCCCGGTAATGGAACAGCCCTGGTGAAATGGAGGCTTTCGAAGCGGACAGGGGGGCTGGACATCGCTGCCTTTTTTAAAGAACAAGCATCAGTGGGTGATTAAATGGCAGGGAAGAAGGGGCAAAGGGAGCGGGGTAGAAGGAAGGTGTGTTCAGGTGCACTGGAGCATTACCTGAAATGGCAACAGATTGTTACCATTATCCGTCCGGAAAGCGTTATCCTCCATCCAGGACTTGGAGGTGAGCGGGGCCGCGCGGGGGAACTTGGGCGGCGCGATCACATTGCTGGAGAAGGGCTTTTTGAGCGGCGAGATGGGGTTGAGGGGTGAGGGCACCCCGACGCCCACGCCCACGCCCACGCCGACCGCCCGGCGAGGGTCCCGTCCTGCCGGCAGACCGCCCCACGGGTTGGACGGCGCGCTCCAAGCAGCGTTCACACTCTGGTGCGTGTTCCAGCTGGACGAGGCGGACGAAGCGGCGGCCGCGGCCGCGGCGGCTACTGCAGCCGAGGATGAGGACGGCTTGCTGGTCATGATGGGCTGGTGGCCGTACGCCGCGGCGGCACTCCTCTGTGCGTAGGGCGCCTGGCTGGGGCTGGCGGGCGAGCGGCGCTGCTGAGGGGGCTGCGCCTGCGGGGGCTGCGCGGGCTGTGGCGCCGGCGGCGGCGGCTGCTGGTGGTGCTGGGTCTGCGCCAGGCCGATCTGCGGAGAGAAGGTGCCTCCGAAGACTGGGTTGACGTGGTGCGGGAAGTTCTGGAAGAGCATGGTCCCGTTGACTGGGGTGATCCCCTGGAAGAAGCTGTCCTCCACCGCGTTCGTGGTTCCCGTGGACCAGGTGCTGCCGAAGGACGGCGACAGCGACGCGCCCGGAGCCGCTGGCTCCTGCGGCGGCGGCGGCTGCTGAGGCGGCTGGTGGAAACTCAAGCCCGGCAGGAGCGGCGATTCCATCTGCATCTTGTCGGGGCCGTTGGGGGCCGGCGGGGCCGCGGCGGGGCTGAGGGCCGGCACTGCGCTGCTGTCCTCCGGCTTGGGGGTCTCTGAGGAGAGGGGCGTGGACGGGGCTTCGGCTGCGCTGGGTTCGGGCTGGGGCTGCTGCTGCTGCCGCTGCTGCTGGGGCTGGGGCTGGGTTTTGCTTTTGTCCATCAGTAAATCATCCTGCATGGTTTGCGCAGCTGAAACGGGAAAAAAGAGAGACGCGTTATTGTCAATGTGATCGTTAATGCCCCTCGCTAAAGCGGGCGGGTGTTTTACTTGCGAAAATCCAGTGCCACCGCTACTAGCCAATTGCAATGCAAATCCATAATCTCCCATTTAGAAGAACAGGTCGGGCTGGGGATGGGGGGGGGGCTCGTGCAAGGTCTCTAAAAATACTGTGAGAGCGTCTTCACCCTTTCTGATGTCTTGGTTCCTTTTCTGTATTAGTGAGAGATGTGCTTATAAGACAGAAAGACAGCAATTTCGCCACGTCTCTTTTCCCTTCACCGGAACTCAGAGCGTTCACCCTGCAATGAGAAACTGATTCTGGTTCCTGTTTTTTCCCAAGCACCACCCTCCCCAGTTATTTGCATACGTCAATAAATACTGCTGCGTCCTTCAGCAAGGTTAAAAAGACACCGCACACGACCCTTTCTTCCCCTTTCCGTGCTCGGCACTTTAAAGAAACAGCAGTCTTATCCCTCTTGATTAGCAAACTGCCTTCTTGCGTTGATAATTGTTTCATTTAGCAGCAGCGAACCACGAGGGAGAAAATCCTTGGCATTTGTTAGGAGGAGGACTCAGCTGCACAATCATTCTCTGGCCTCCCAGTAGCTGCAAGCTACTCCATTTTGTTAGGAGACATAAAAAAAACAAAACAAACAAAAAAAAAACCACCGTTTTTAAAGAGGTAAAAATCTATTGAAACGTTTGTAAGCGTTTGCTTCTTGTTACACTCTAAGGATTAGGGTTTTTCTGCTTATTCTCCAATCTTCTTGTCTCCAATTCTGCCATACAAGAAATTTCTTAGCTTCTCAGCGGTTCAGGTCTCAACAGGAGCCTGAAAATTTCTCTGCAGCGTGGAGAAATGTTCTGGTTAGATTTGAGGTCAGAGAGAGCGAAAGACAGAGACAGACTGACTCTGAGATGGGGTGGGGGCGGAGCTTTTAAAAAAAATCCCCCTGAGATTTAAGTAGAAAGTCAAGATACTTTTGGGGTTGCCAGATTTTCATTTTTGAATCCTCCTGATGCTGCCTTGGTCACAAGACTTTGGCAAATTTAGAATCCATTCTCTTATCACTGGTATTAGCAGTGAAAGATTATGGTTTGAAGACCCTGAATTACCATATGCTAGCAAAAGTGTTAAAAATAGCGTAGTACAAAGTCCCAAATTCTCATACATTGTAATTATAGTGCACTGCCATCACTGCTTCATTTAGCCATATAAGGAGCGTATGGTATTTTCCATCTCTCATAGAAGGGCTATATTCACCTCTGCCATACAGCCTGTTTTCTCATTCAAGGATAAAAACAGTAATCATTCAAAATCAGGAGATTTCCATACACATAGTTATCACTGAGTTAGTTTGTCCTTTAGAACATGTTAATTGTTTTAAATATATGAATATTACAGCGCTGAGACCCTAAAAACAAATATTTTGAGATGTTAAAGGAGGTACATGACCAAACATATAATTATTTTTAGATGATGATTCAGTATGATCGCAACAAAGTTATTAATATATTTAATGCAGTTACTTAATTGACTCAGATACTTGGAGAAGCATCTTTCCCAGAACACTTGTGAAAGGACATTCAGAATCACACAGAAGCTCTGCCTTTGGACAACCTCATGATAACTGTCATAAAATAAATGTATTGGAAAATGGAGATGCCATCACTCTTTAACTACTAGGCAAAATATGTCAGATCAAGAAATGGGATTAAAGTAGTACTATTTTATTAAAGACTATCTTTAAAATGGTTAATCTTTAAAGTTTCATACACAAAATAGTGGGCTCAAGGAAATGCTTCATAGCCACCTCACTCTCTTCTCTTCCCTCCCCTCTAACCCTCCCCAAAACCCAGCCCAATATACCTCACAAATTGCCAGCTACTACCAATAAAACCTACATAAGATTGATTTTATGTTCCTCAGTTCCCTTGGTCTAAAACAATGGTTTTGATCAGTATTGTAAAATATGACACAAAGAGGCAAGCAAAGCTTGGATTCACAACAGCACAAAGTTCTATCGCTGCCAAAGGAAATGGTCATAGAAAGAGACATTTTCATACTTGGTTTAAGCAGTGCTGCAGTAAACCATTATAATCTGGGATCTGAGTTGCTTCAGTGGGCTAGAATTATCTTTACAATAGCCATATCATCATGGCTGAAAATATGCATTTGATAATTTTAATAACACTCAGCTTTCCCGATGCTTGTATCGATGCTTTTTGTTAATGCCTTCAGTTTAGACTACATGCTCTTGATGGAAAAATTAATGCTATACTATAGCAAAAAAGCTAAAAAGTAAGCTGGACTCAATCTTTTATGAAGGCTATAATTAATATATTTACTGAATTTAAAAAATTTTATCAAACCAGGAACACCCATTTCTCTTCTCAACACTCCTTAAAGAGATAAATTTCACTTTCTGCATAAATTCACTCTGTCAAGGTCAAGACCCATCTTTAATAAATAAGACCCTTTTAAACAAAAGGAAAGCAATAGATTAAAATAATATTTACGAAGTTAAAATGCAATGTCTCTCGGTAACTGCTTCTATAGTTTGTTTGGGTGTGTTTCTTTTTTTCTTTTTTCTTTTTTCTTATTTACAGCAAAGTCGGAGAAATAGATACCTCCTTCCCCTCCCCCACCACACACACAATAGATCTTCCTTTACATGCAATCACCCAATCTCAAGTAACAAATTCTTAGTAGCAGTTACCTTTGAGTGTCCAGTTTTTAAGGATCGATAAAATTAAAAAGTGTACAGTATTTATTTTCTTCTTTCAGGTTGATTATGTGACCGCTCTGGCAAAAGCACTTTGACAACTGTAAGAAGAGAGGGCATGCGCACACAGGGAACTGTGGGGGCTGAAGTCCTTCACTAGGTACTCTGCCTGACTTAAGCACGTTCAGCCAAGGAAAGGAGGAAGCCTCGCAAATACTGATTCCAAGGGGAAGAGGTTGTGCCCGGATTACATTATATTTTCCTACCAATCTGAATCACGAATTGTTGAAATGAAAAGGGAGAAAAATAAACTGGTTTGTCAACTTGATTTAGGAATCCAGGTTCAAAGAGAAACTGGATTGAAGGACTCAAAATGAATAAACCCAGCAGAGCTACCTTAAATAGTATTAGAATGGTAATGACTGGGTAGCCAGCAATAGGAACCCTACCGGAGCAAAAAGAGATTGGGTAGGGAGGGATTAAAAAAGGAGGGAGGACTACAAGGAAAAGATAAATACTTAAAATCTGATCATCCTTTAGAGAAACATTTTTAGTACTATAGAATGAAAAATACCACAATATTAAATGTGATATTAACCATGGAGATCAGGTAAAAAATAGGTTTCAGTCACAAATTTCTGACATCTTATCCACCAAGATTTCTTTGTATTTGAGTTTTCAATGAAGGCATAAATCACTTAAGATTCTACTTGATATGCTCTGAATCAACTCACCTCCGTATTTTACTTGTCAAAATGAAAGTTTACTTTGCATTATTCATACAATGATCAATCAAATAACATTCAACTCTTTTAAGCTAAAATAATATTTGGTGAAATATTAAAAAATAATTTGACATTTAGTGTTTCATTGCATAGGACAGTGACTTCTTTCTTTAACATAAAAAGTAAATACGGTTTCTATTTTTCAAAAAAAAATTTTTTTGTTGTGTATTTTTCCTTTCTTAACCTCATGACTCCAAGGCTGGAATCTCACAGCATATTAGCATCAACCGTTATTATCCATAGCTTCTGAGAGCAATAGTTCAACTACCAGTTTGCTCACGTAGGCAGAAGATACTCTTTTTTTTTTTATAAGATTTTATTTATTTATTTGACAGAGAGACAGCATAAACAGGGGGAGTGGCAGGCAGAGGGAGAGGGAGAAGCAGGCTCCCCACAGAGCAAGGGAAGCCCAATGAGGGACTCGATTCTAGGACCCTGGGATCACTACCCGAGCAGAAGGCAGTCGCCCAACCAACTGAGCCACCCAGGCGCCCGAAGATATTATTGCTTGTGGGATTTGGTTCAATGCCATTCACCCAAGGGGTTCAGAGTAAATGTCGGTTGATGACTATGCTGATTGAACTGGGAACCAAAAAATGTTAAGAATCATTTAAAACCGTCTTAATTCTCTATTTCCTTTCTTTGCCAATTAGAATTAAAGTATTACCAGAGACTACCAATTTGCAGTGTTAGTGGTCTTTGTTTCTAGTTGTTTCTAAGGAAAAAACCAAAACAATTTAAGAGGAAAAAAACTATTGTGAATCAACCTATGAAACGCTCTTTTTAAAAGAACTAAATGGCCTTCTTATTCCTACTGTGAACTTATTTTATATTCTCCATTTTTTCTCTTCCTCTGCTCTCCTAAAGAAAGCTTCACTTCTGCCAATGTGCTGTACTTACCATTTGCATTCCAGAGTCTGTCAGGATCACTCAAGGTTAATCTTATTCCTGAAGATTTCCCTAACCTACCAAACTTCCATATTTTCAAATACATCAATTAGGTTAAAAAAAAAAAGTTCCCTCTTAAAAAAAAAAGTTCCCTCATAAAATCCTTACAAAGACTTGTTTTTAAAAAATAGATTTTCAAAATTATTTATAATTAGGGTGCCTGGGTGCCTCAGTTGATTAAACATCTGCCTTCGGCTCAGATCATAATCCCGGGGTCCTGGGATCAAGTCCCGTGTTGGGCTCCCTGCTCGGCGGGGAGTCTGCTTCTCCCTCGCCCTCTGCTGCTGCTCCCCCTGCTCCTGCTCTCTCTCCCTCAAATAAATAAATATTTAAAAATAAATAAATAAAATTATTTATAATTAATATGTCAAGATTTTATTGGTAGAAATTCTTAAGTTATTCAGGTGTGCTTGAAAGCAGTTTACTTGGGCATTTATTTATCCACCTGACCCCAAGTGCAGGTCTAATAATAATTCATACAATAAAGAAAAATAAACTT